ACTGGAGCACATCTGCAGCAGTGAGTGTGGGCAGAGGGGAGTGCGGGGTGGGTGGCGCGGGCAAGGATGGAGCCTGGGCAGAGAGCTCCAATTCCTGCCCCAGGCAAGGAGGGCTCTGCTCCTGTCCCAGCTCTGGCACGGTAGAGAGAGGACAGAGAGAGATCTGGGGGCATTGGATTTGGGGCCTTTGTGTCCAGCAAGTTTGAGCTGATCCTGTGGTCCCCTGGCCCTGAGGAGATGCAGGTGCCATGGCCCTGTCGGAAGGGATGCCCGGGCTGTCTGCAGCTGTGGGGAGGGGGTTGATGCCTGTTCTTCTTCCTTCTCAGCACTTCAGTGCCTGCAGAATGACAGCAGCCCCTCGGTGCGTTCCCTGGCAGCTCAGACAATCCTCCTGCTGACACTGGGGAAGCAGCCTGCATCCCGAGGCACGCGGAGAGCCCGCTGCTCCTGGCTGCGCAGAGCGTGGAAGAGCTGTTGCCTGCCTCTGGGAGAGGGCTGCGTTTGCCGCGGGAGCTCCGCTCGCTCCTGATCCTGCCGTGCTCTGCACACTGGGCCCCACGAGGCGGCTGGCCCCTCTGAGTCCTGGTTCTGCCCATTCCACCTTCTGCTGGGCTTTCTTTCAAAGAAGGAACATTGGTTTTCCCTTGTGTTTGGATGTCATTTCTTTATGGAGACAAACATGGGGAAACAGCTCTTCCACACCTCTCATCACTGCCTCAACAGCTCCTTACCTGCTAATAGGCCCATGCTCAGCATTGGGCCTATCAGTCATTGAGGTACAAGTCTTTGGGGGCTCAGAAATGGAGTTTCCCTCCTGTGTTTCTAGGTCCCCCATGTTGGTTTCTGGGGCTGGTTTGAGAGCTCGGAAAGGGATGGGGAGTCAGTCCTGGGGTTCTGGTGCTAGAGGTCCCTTCCTACTTGGGGAAGACAGGCTCAGGACAAGGTTTGGGTGTGGGGATTAGAAGGGGTAGCAAAATCTTGGGGTTTCAGGGGCTCAGGCTCCTTTTGGGCTTTCACTATCTTTCCTGGACCTTCACCCCCCCCCCTCCCGGCTCAGGGGGTGGTTTGGGGGCTCCACAATAAGAGACTAAGGGGTGCGTTTTTGGGACTCCAAAGCAGCTCCAGGGGCTGGTTTAGAAGCTCAGGAATGGGGGCTATGGGGGCTAAGTCCTGCATTTCCGGTTTCCCAAACAGGCTCTAGGAGCTGCTTGGAGGGCTCAAGAACAGAGGCCAAATCTTGCATTTGGGGTGCTCCAAATCAGGCGTCTGGATGCTGCCCTGAGGCCTCACAAGCAGAGATGAGTGCTGCATTTCTGGGTTCAAAAACAGGCTCTGGGGGCTGTTTTGGGGGCTCAGAAACAGCCACTAAGTGCTGTGTTTTTGCTGCTCAGAGCCAGGTTTCCTTGCAGTGGTTTCAGAGCTCAGAAATGGAGACTAAGTCACGCGTTTTTGGGGCTCCAAAGCTGCTTCTGTGGTCTGGTTGGAGAGCTCAGAAATGGAGACTAATTCTCCGATTAGAGCTCCAAAACACATGACCAAGTCATCTGTTTCCAGCCCCAAAACAGAGGTTTTGGGGTTGGGGCAGGAAGGGTGGGTGGGTGGTTGGGCTCCCTCACCTTTGGTGAGGATCCATTCACAGGCGCCACGGCAGGGAAGCCCCCATGCACCAGGCCGAACCTTCACACATGACTTAGACTATGCAGCGAAAGGTGCTTTGGAGGCCCCCTTTGTCCAGTGTTTGTGCAACTTCCGGACTTGTAGACTATTAATGAACCAATTATTCAATTAATTATTTTACTGTTAATGAGGTAGTGAATCAGTGTGAATGAGCTAATTAAAAATGACAGTAAGATGCAAGTTGTGACAGTGATTGACTTGGCAAGTCAATCGCACTTGGCAAGTGCGAACATGGCAGGCACAGCAGTGGAGAGGGAGAGACACAAGAGCAGTAGACGACAGCATCTGGTCAGTGCAACATTTTACTCGATGTTCAGCCAATGCTTCCAGCTCAGAGCTATTGCAGGATTAGTCATCAGGGAGGCAACACACATTCAATATTCATAAGGTAACTGCTCAATCAGGACAAGCAGGTAGCAGGGAGGTGACACAGGGAAACCCAGGAGTCACCATCACCCAATACTTACGACTCTCATAAAGTTTATCATATAAACAAATTTAACTAGAGCAGTTTTTGTTATCTTACAGTTACACACAAAAGTTACGGTACAGTTACACAAACACAGCGTTGGAATCACCATGAAGTCGCTCTGGATCCCCCACGCGCCAGGCTCAACGCACACGAGCCCCGCGGCGCCCCCCACACACCCAGTTCCCCCTGCCCCGAGCCCCCTCGCTCGTTACTCACCGGCTCCAGCGCTCAGGAGGCTCCAGCGCTGCGCGGGGCTCCGCGACGGCCGCGGGGCGCGAGCGGGGACAGGGCTGAGCCCCGGCCCGGCCGGGAGCGCGCTCGGTGCCGCTGCCC